CCCAAACTTAACCCTAAACTCAAATCTAAACTTCGTCTCCCTTATGTTTACTACATAGCCACTTGTTCCACTGTCTTGCCGAGGTGGCTGGCACAGGCCATGCACGTGATTACTAACCAGCTTATGTGATTAGATGACCTCCCAGGTTTACAATTGTAGATGTAGTGATAGTACAGTAAGAGTCACGAGGGAAATATCGGTGTGCAAGAATGCATAAAATTGTTTAGATTCGGAGTGCGCATCGAGAGTGCACGCCGCCGCAATCGGCTCAGTTTGACGACATTCTCTCGAGGCAGTCCAGGTGCGAATCTAATCGCATTAAGCACGCAAGTATTGCGATCGATGTTGCGCGGCGTGATCGATCGATTTTACCTCGCCAGGTGTGCGGGCCTCCACGCCACAGGCATGTGCGTCAGGCATGCTCCGGCGGCATATGCAGCCGTGCAGCTTTCACACGCAGTTAGTGCCATTTGGCTAATCATAGCTTGGGCTGCAACCCGACCGACTTACCTGGTAATATTTGAACGTCTGTTTCCCAAAATATCCTCTGATATCATTTGTGTGAAACTGGAAGTCCTTTCCCCGTAGGAGTAATCAGCAGAGTTGGCAACAGCCGATAAGCGATGATATGAAGGAAGCATGTTGCAGCATATTTTTCCAGCTCTGCCAAGTCCATTATTCCCTGGTGATGATGTTGTTACTGTGTCATCAAATACACTCCGGTTCGCAAGACCATTTCGAATTAACAGCTGAAAGTCGCTCTCTTCTTTGGGGACGAGTACACCAATTATGTTAGTTCTTCTTACAATATCGAGAAGTGTGTCCAACAGACATTTTTATGAAGTCATGCAAAAAGTAAATGATAGGTCGTTGGTAGACGACTTTGGTTGCCCCGCGTTAAACTCTCTTGGAAACATTCATTATCAGGGTGAAGACGACCACTGAATCATCCAGAGTGTACAAGCAGCATCGCAGGTAACTACAGCTAGCATTATCAACGCGCAAATATCAGTCGAATCTCATTCTCCCTAAATTCGTCCATCTGCGGCTAATCGGTGAAGAAAAAACATCGATGGACATCACGGTGTCGCAAGCCGAAGGCGGAGTCACTCGTGGCATGCGTACCGAAAACGATGAGGGCTAACAGTTGTGTTGACGATCTTGAGAGTGGGAAGCTACAAGTTTTCCCTTGTCCAGTTACACTTGCGGGGCCATTTTCTGGTGAAATGTCAAATCTGTAACACCTACGACGACTTGCTTAAAATGTGCAAATCACCAGCAACTCACTCACTTGCGCCCCTTTTTACGTAGGTCTGTGTGTCGTTTACTGTCGGGCTTTGCTAGGCAATTCCGGGTGAGTTCGAACATGATTAGGAATTGATGACGCTTTTACGGCCGATGCGGTCACTGTAAATACAAACTACGTATTCATCTATATCCCCAGCCTCAAACTGCTGCTGTCTGCGTTTTCGGGTGCTGAAAATATCCGACCCCTTTGACGAACATTTTCCTCGTACTGGCAATCAAATTTTCATACTTGAAACCACTTGGTGAAAATCTCTGTGTCCAAGAAAATCGACTTCCTACATGCTTCTAATTCGGAAAGTACGAGTACTTCCTATAAATTGGCGTTTGTACTAAACTCCACACCGATGGATTTGTGACTTCACCAATGCCGCGCATTACATCGACGGATGAATATCTGTCCGTCAAATAGTAACTACCCCACGCAGTCCACAGTGTCGTAAGAAGTCATTTCATTCACCGGGAAAACATACCTCGTCCTAAAGTGGTCGGCCCACCTGTGAGCACCGCACATCTTTTAAAGTAAGAAGTGCAACGCAGATTTACTTGCAAGTCGTTTATTTCTTTTAAAAAAATCAGGAAAGTGGCTGATGTTTACATGCGAATGCTTGCAGCTCCGCGAATCCAGCTGAGCGATTCCACTGGGTTCTTGGAGGACCAGACCCAAGCGGTCAAGTCGTTGTCGGGGTCGGCTGAACCTCCTGGGGCTGCGAAGGCCTCTACCGTGTTGCCTGTTAAAAAAATATTTTAATTAAGGTCGGTTACGAAAAAGAAAATTCTAAGACAGAGAAAGAGGGAAACAAAGAGGAGGAGGCAGTATTCACAGAAGTGCTGCCGAGTGACCATTTAGAGAAAAAAAACATGTCAGATTAACGAAGGTGTCGCATGCTGAGCCAATGCATGGCATTAAAGAGAGAAAGAATGCATTTAATTGTGTAAAAATTATTTCCCCGTCTTCAGTCCTCTACCTAAGGAAGACGAATAAGTCAAATGGAATATTGTACATCGAGTTTTTGTCAGCGCTGCATGAGTTGTTTTATATTCAATGGCTTCTTTCTTATAATTCCTGACAAAGGCAACGTCTTTTACTGGCTTACAGTGGAGTCATTTTATAGCCGAGATTTTAAAAGACACTGTGGTGGGATATGAGGAATTCTCATGCATTAAAAACTGTTTACTAGACAGAAAAAAACTCCATATAAAGGTCAATTATCCGGACACCGTAATAATAGCACCGCCAGTGAGGTCGCTCCATTCAGCCTCAAGGCACACACACAAACACACAGTGCTGGTGCAGAGTGCGCATTCAAAAGAAAAAAGGAGAAGGAATGCATTTAATGGTGTGTTGCATTACCGTTGCCGAGAGCGAAGACGGCGTTGGCGGAGGTGACAAGAGTGAACCAGCTGCGAGGCTCCTGCATGTGGGCCAGTTCTGTCCACTGGCCGAGGGGGCTGCCGGCGTCTGGCGGCGTAAACATCTCCACAGTGTTGACAAGTCTGCCTTCTCCATCCCGTCCACCGGCGACCAGAATTGCTCCCCGAAAGGCCGTCGCTGCTGCCCCCCATCGAGCAGTTCTCATGGGGGCAGCCGACTGCCAAAAGTCCGCTGAGGTCGTCTCCTGCCGACGCCAGTCTGCTCGCAGATGGCAGAAGACCACAGAGGCAAGCCGGGTGCCGCGATTTGAACCGCCAAAAAGGAAGACTCGACTGTCGCCGGGCAGACAGGCAGCAGCCGGGCCGTACCTCACCTCCGGCAGATCGGGCAGTGCGTGCCATCTGTTCGGGCAAACAGGCGAGTGAGGAGAAGCGGGGATAAATCTTTCTTTTTGGCGAAAAAAACTTTAATAAATGTGTGTCTGCACTCACCTGTCCTGCCTGACGTCATAGACCTCACAGGAGGAAACCAAGAATCCACCGAAAACGCCAATAAGCGTCTCCTCTCCGTCGGCGGCGGCGGCAGCGGTGGGAACCTTCACGACGGCGGCTGCGTGCCCCCCGAAGCGTCCAACGGCGAGGGGCGCCCGCTCGCGCCAGCGCCCTTCTCTCACCAGAAACTCATCAACACGCCGCTTAGCGTCATCCCGTCCTCCTCCAACAACGAAAATGCTCTCTTCCGTTTGGTGGTGGCGGTGGCGGAAAAAAACAATGCATAAAGTAGCCAGCTTAAAAAGGGCTTGCATTCTTTAAAAAGCAAAAAGCAACGAGCGCTAAATGCACCCCGTAGGCAGCAAAATGTGCTGACAGGCCTGCACCCAGAGGCAGGAGACTTCAGTCAAACAAATGTCCAGGAAACTCACCACCCACCGCACTGTAGGAGGCGCCCGTCCGGTCAGCTCCTCCCATGTCAGCAACGCGTTCTGTCTGCTGCAGACGCGGATTCCAACGCAGGACAGACCACCTTCGCTGACTGTCTATTCCAAGGAGGAAGATCGTCGGATCTTTGTCTGCTCCAAATAATGTCTGGTGACCCCGAGGCCTAATATTGAAGGGGCAGGGCCGCTTATCCTTTTCTGAGGCGCCAAGCCAATTCAAGATCTGAAACAGTAGCCGACTTTTAGAGAAAAAATAACAAGGCTGCAATGTCGTGTACTTACAGACACTCGGGACTCTTGCCAAATGTCGGATGACTGTCCAGCAGACGATTGCGACATTCCACAGTCGTCTGGTGCCACTGCACCTCCCTCAACATTGCTGGAGCGTAAACTTGAAGCCTTTTGTCATCATCCGCCAGGCACGCACCTGCATCCACCCACCGTGAGATGGCCGCAATAACCTGCTCTTCAGACGACACAGACAAGTCCTTACTTTGAAGCACAGTGATTAGAGTTTGGGCAGGTAGACGAACAAAGAGGTCGGTGGGCACAAAGTCTTCAAAGTGCGCCTTCATCAGTCCGATGCACTTTTGCGTCAGTGCTTCAACGTTCAGCGACCTCGCACAGTCCCAGACGGCTGACAGGTTTTCTAAAGTGAGACTTCAGAACAGACGGTTAGACAGGAAATGCTCGTACCCTCTGACCATGAATGCCACTCCCCAGTCCACCAGGTGAGGCAACTCCAGCATTCTCGCAAGCGTCACCAGGCCTCTCGCATTGCCTTCTCTCATCTCCACTCGGCCCGTGTAGACATACTGCATGAACGTAGTTGCGAGGCTAGAAAGTGCAGAAGCAGTAAGCAAAATCACCAAATCGACGACGATTTTACCTGAGTGGCATGGTCGGCCATCGTAGGACAGAATTCGCCTCTCCGAGGGGGTCACTCAGAGGGGCTCGCAAAGACGGAATGCGAGCCGCCAATATAATACGATTGGCGTGAAGCTCTGCCCTGTCCATAACCTAACACGCAAACAAACATGAATATTCGCGGTAAGGGAGGCTACCTCTATCGTCAAGTCCTTAATTTCCTCCGCAAGGCGGATTTCGTTCAAGACTGGACAGCTTCGGATCAGGGGAAATTCGTCTTCGAATACTTCTGCACGTGGGAGCGCCATTTGGTGTAGTAACCAGAGCGAGGTCGACGGGTTGCCTTCAGGGCCGTGAGGGCTGCCCTTTTATTTCTGTCCTGACATTCTACGCACGCGCGCACTGGCGACCTACAGGATCTGATTGGCCGAAGGTAGCACAGAGCGGATTCCATTGGTTGGAAGTTGGCACAGAAAGGGGGTGAATCAATACGAAAAAGGTAAAGGCGACTTCTTCATTGGTTAGGCCATAGCTGACTAGGAGGTTTCACTGCTAAAATGTGAATACCAACTAGGCTGACGTGTGCCCTGCCAAGAACGAGGAAATCGTGGGGGCGGGAATAGGCAGTAGGCTTAGGTTGGTTGTGTACAGACAGTCTGCAGACTCGCTGGCAGTTATGAGAGGTTGATCTTCGGTGCGAACTACTGTCGTTAGTTTGTGAAGATCACCTGTTCATGCAGACGAATAGCGAGGGCGTAAATCTCTGGCAGAATGCTATGTATTCGCCCAGATCTGGCTAATTAGCTATAAGACCCTCTCAACGTTTGTTAAGAAGACCAGATAAATTAGAAACATGCTATATCAGGCGTACTGTCCTCAAAAGTTCATCACACGTTAACGATTCACGATATATTTCCTGTAATCCAGACCAGTTAGCTTTCGTCTTTAGCTTATCTACGGCCCTAAAAACATAGGTCGCTTGAACATGAGGAACATTGGTAGATTTTTCTCCCTGCCAACAGTCTGGAGAAAACTACTATTGAAAATCTCTGCGAAGTTGTCAAAATAAATCGCCAAAATGCAAATAAGAAACTCCCAATGCAAGAAAAGATTGATTTTGTGCTAGCTATTCAAAATTAACATTCCGCCATAGACAGCCTGGCTGGCTCTGTGCCTGAAAGACATTATGCTGCGTTCCATGCAAAACAACGATCAACAAAATACTGGAATTTGGAAATTTCTATTAATTTTCATTGTTGCCTTATGCATTCTCATAGTTACCCCGTTTTAAACGATTTAAAATATGTCCATTTTTAAAATTTTGATTTTCCGGAAAATTAATTAATATTATGCTAGCAAATTTAAATTTAAAAAACTTAACTACGCATCCTCTTAAGAAAGGTTGTACTTTCACTGCTGTAATACTAGGTATGCAGTTTGGGCGGATTTAGAACTATAAGGACATTCGTGTGATACTTCAAGACCTTTCAACTACTGTGATAGTAGTAGTAGTAGTAGTAGTAGTAGTAGTAGTAGTAGTAGTAGTAGTAGTAGTAGTAGTAGTAGTAGTAGTAGTAGTAGTAGTAGTAGTAGTAGTAGTAGTAGTAGTAGTAGTAGTAGTAGTAGTAGTAGTAGTAGTAGTAGTAGTAGTAGTAGTAGCAAAGGTGTTTGAGGTGGTATTAGCAGTTGTAGTGGTAATGATTCGGATGATGAAAATGAGGAAGCTCAGTCTAACAATAAAACCAGGATTGTTTTGATTACACGCATCATCTTGAGCTGCACAAACAGTCTGCAGACACGCTAGCATTTTCGTTGGCAAAATATTACTGTAGCCTCTTCAACCTGTTATCAGTGACTGTTGTGGATGTCTCCACATGTTTCACCATTTAAACGATCACGCCACAAAGCTCGTCATCTCTATTTGCGAAAAAAGATGGCTTTGTGCGACTGGGAGCCTAGAAGATGTGAGCCTACGACATACCTGCTCAAATCACGCCCCTGTCATTCGATCTCGATCTGGGCGTTATCTAGGGAGTGAAAAAAGTACATGCGCAGCACAGCAAGCTCTGGCACACATGACAGGCTCCACCCTGGTGTGCCGTTGCAGGCTGTGACGTGGCTGCACATGAAGCCAGGTCAGTGGAGCTGCGTGATTCCTGCTGAAAACGACATCGTCTATTCAGGAGACGCATAATATAATTTTACAGTTCTCTAGTGATTCTCAGCACTGAGTGAGTTTCCATGGAGATATTGCATCAAACCATCGCAAATTCAATTACAGAGGGATACATGAAGGTGCAGAACAGTGAATTGACTCTTATTTCATCTCACCATAATTAAATTGCCCGGAGGTTAACAGCCACATGCGTTGATTAAACCATTGTAAGCGAGAAAGCTCGGCACACTTTTATGACTGCTTCGGAGATCGGCCCCGTGATGGGCTTCCGGAGGCAACTTTGTTTGATGAGGCGCTTTTGTGCTATGAGAGATGGAAAGAACAGTCCGAAAGTGAGACTAATTACAAGGGGTCTGTCTATTACCACAGTATGTGTCTCAGCTCATGGAATATCGGGATCGAAAGTTGGGTGAGAAGTATGTCATACTTATGGTGTTATTATTTCAGTTTTTTGAATTGATCTAAGACGCAGAAAACCATTTTGTTTAGAAGACGTGGCATCCCTGATGTGAATTTCTATTCTTTTCCGTTTTTCTACTAACCGTTTTTTAGTAGGCAGACTTTGCACATACCCCTATTCGTCGGTTCTCGTCATTCTTCGTTCATTGTTGTCTGGTCGTTGTCTATTGCTCTTTGTCGCCGCTCGCTTTTAAACCGACCACCACACTCTGGCGTCATTCGCTGACTGCTCGTCTAATCAACTGGAACGTACGTCCACTTTTCAATTCATTCCTCGCTTTATTAACTCTATCGTGCTCCGCCAATCTTACTGTTTACTGCTATAGAACCACAAAACATAACCGAGTTAGCATCAATGTCTTCTGACATAACTTTGACCTCGGGCGCATCTATTCCGGTGAATAAACCAGCACTGAATCGGAAATCTAAAGAATCCTAACAAAGTTATTTGAGTCATGCCCGAGCAAATCGCAGATAACAGCCCTCCGGATCTGTCGCTGCACTCACGACCTGTTTCACCGATCACCTAAGATCAAAGAGATTTAGATCGGCAGCGACTTGAAATAGAGCTCAACAAACTGCGTCTGCTAGAAATCGAAAGACGCATTGGGTTGGAAAAATTACGGCTTATAAAAATGGAAGGTCAAGAATTGAATAAAGATAACGAGGGTTGTGCGATCGCTCAACATAGAGATGGTAGTTCGGATGACAATGTCGAACCTCCAGTTCGCATCACTGACTATCATCTAGAGCCGCCAAAACGTGAAATTCAGTAGTTCGACGGGCACCATTAATTTTATTGTGCTTTCGTAAAAGAGTTCCATTCTGTAATTGAAAGGAAAACTGATGACAGCATCAGCAGCCTCACTTACATGATACAGTAATGTGAGGGGAAAGCGAAGGAGGCTATACAACATTGTGTGATATCAGCCGCCGACGAAGGTTTAAAAAAAGCCAAAGATATTTTGAGAAAATGATTCGGCCAACATTATACACCACCCCGAGCCTTTAATGAAGCTTAATCGATGGACCTCAAATAAAAGGCAACGACACCGCAGCGTCGGTTAACCTCAGCCAACAAGTGCAAGCTTGCGTGGCAACCTTAAACCAACTAAACTATACACGCGATCTCAATTCCAGCAGAACAGTGGAGTCGATTGTAAGACGACTACCCTCCCAATTAAGATCCAAACTGGCTGAAGCTTCCGCAAATGCAATACATCAGGGCGAAGAACCATAATTCAAAGATCTCACGAACTTCATAGAAGAATGCGTTGATGTCGCCTGTAGTCCGTTCGGAGAATTAGCGCTTAGTTCGGGAGATCATGAAGGTCAACAGCCCAGTAGAACACAGAGGTTGTCAAACAATCTTCAAAGGAATGTGCTTGTTTAAAACAGCACGGAAATAAAGCGCAATGGGACCCATTTCCCGTTCTGTTGCACGAACTGTGGAGAAGATCATCGTCCCGATAAATGTCCAACATGTGTTACCTATGACAGGAGGGAAAGGAAAGGATTGTATAAGAGCGCAAACTGTGCCGCCATTGCCTGAGAGCGAATCATATCGCTAAGAACTGCAGATCACCTTGTGGGTGTACAGTCAAGGGCTGTGGAAGAGAACATCACACTCTACTAAATCCCGACAACGAAGAACTCAATAGCCCGTCGAATGTATTCAGTCATCACGTAGTCGTACACGAAGATGAGGTTCCAAGGGTAGCCCTCGTAGTCGTTCCAATGACCAGCCGGTACGAACGACACACGGCACGGACTTTGGCACTTTTAGACAACGGCTCCGACTCAACGCTCATACATGATAGTCTCGTGTCTGCCCTTGGAATGAAGGGCAAAAGCAAGGATATCGTCATATCAACGTTGAATAAGGAAACTGTATTCCAGACCTTGGGAGTAGAGATCGACATAGAATCTAAAGGCACAAAAACTTCTATTCACGTCAAACGAGCTAACTCTGTCAAATCTCTACCGCGAGCGAATCAAATCATGCCAAATTAAAAGTTAGCCTCACTCTGGCCTCACTTGATTACGATCGAATTCCAATCACCCGAAGACATGGGGATAGGGCTGTTGTTAGGATGCGATGTACGGGAAGCACACTGGGTACAGGATCAATGCTTAGGTAAAGCAGACAAACCATACGCCATTCGAACGGCCTTGGGGTGGATAATGATGGGACCTGTACATCGGACTCCCATAGAGAAGGAATGGGTATACTGCTCGAAATTCATTGAGTTCCAGAACGACCTGGAGCTGTTCTATCAACAAGACTCCATTGACAAGGGACCAACCAAAGACAAAGATCTGTCTGTAAACGATCGTATCGCGTTGATGACTATGGACCAAACCCTTTGTTTTCGCGAGGGCCATTATATGTTAGCCCTAGCTTGGAGAAGTCACCCATGAATCCTCCCGAATAACAAGCTATGCGCCTTACAACGCCTCCGACTGCTGGATAAACGGCTCGTTAAATCAGAAGACCTGTTGCAAATGCACACGAAAACTATGAACGACTACACTGAGTCTGGATATGCTGAAGAGGTTCCGATCAAGGATGCAGCCTATTCTTGGTGCCTTCCCCATCATCCCGTTTTCCACCCAGTCAAGCCAAATAAGATATGCGTGGTCTTTGACTACGTAGCTAAATTCTACGGAGTC